AAAAAAAAAAAAAAAAAAAAAAAAAAAAAAAACTTTTTCAATCTTTTCATTTTCAAGCAAAAGAAAAAAAAGAGGAAAGTTAACAGAAAAGTGGAACAAAAAAGTAATGCTGTTCAGAAACCAAAAAAAAATCTTTTTTCTAATTTTTTTATCATACTGTTCATCTATGAATTTTTAGCAGGTTAAAATGTTTTACAAAACGTGAGTAATATCATTTTAGAAAAAAAAAAGTTCATGATCACAAATTAACCAAAGTTGTCAACTTATGTGAACTTTGTGGTAACCACGTAAATGTTGGCTTTTTTAGTAACGTTGCTGTTTGCCGTAAATTTTTGATGACTGTAATGCTGATGACTAATACAGTGATAATGGTTATAATAAAGACTAGGATGATGAAGTTGATACCAATGATAATGATGATGAAGATGACCATGACAAAGAAGACGATGATGATGACGGTGACAATAACGAACAAGACAATAATTCTGATGATTCAAAACTATAAATTTGCTGCCTCTAGTGTTGGTATTTAAGTTTTTCACATCAATAATTATCAGAAAGTTTCCAGATGGTTTTTCTTTGTTTTCGAAGCAAATACGGTACCTAAGACACTAAATTACCGTATATGCGACAAAAACGATAATTCACCGATAACGTCGACAACAGCATTCCTAAGTCAAGTTAAAAAAAGTGTAACAAAAACTGAAATTTACTTCTGTACTTCAAGCTATTTTATCAAGTTCACAAAATTACTTTTAACTTATAAAAACTGAACACCTTTTAATTGGTTATAGCAATAAGATAATCACAAAAAAAAGAAAGCCGGACTTGACCTGAAAGCATGATCATGAAATGGTAAAAGGAAAAAAAGCGCGAAAGGGTGATAAAACTTCTGTATAAAGTTGTCAAAGAACAAAAAAAAAAGAGAAGACGAAATGCTAAGAATTATTTGCTGTTGAAATTAAAACTGGTAACTTTTTAAGTGATAATGTATGTGGAAAAAATAACGGTTATTATATGCATGAATCTGTTTTCCATGTTGTTGTATCTGTTTTTTTGTTGTTGTTTGCAGTGCTCGTGGTGCTGTTAATTGCAACTAAAGAAATAGCATAAAATAACGAACTAATTTAGCCAGTAACGATTAATTTTGGATAAAAGAAAAAAATGATGAGAAAAAGACTCAATAACAACAACAGCGTTTATTCAGGTCCTAATATATGATATAACTAAAATGACGTAAAACTTTGCTGAGACATTTTAATTTTCCTATTTTTCCTGATTAAAGTAATTTTTTTTGCATCTCTCTGTCTATTTATCGATCAGTAATAACAGTACAGAGAACAGTCTTGAGTTATATTCATTACTGCTTTCCTAAGTATAATAAAAGTAAAAACAGCGTTAGTTAAGTGGTTTTTAATTCCACTGAAATGAAATAAAGTAAAACTTGTAGCCTACTACACAACGAGAGGAAGAAGAAGAAGAATAACAAGCATAAATCTGTAATTTTAATGCTTATATCAAATATGTAATATTTCTTTTTTTGTTTAAGCTTAAGTTTTTACTACTGTTAAATTTAAAAATAAATGTAATGCAACATTTATATAAAATTTGAGATCAACGAAACAGCAATTTTGCACCTCCTCGTCATGACCAAAGATTAGAGACCGGTGAAGATCACGGATAAACATCGGTGTAAACGAAACAAATGCTGCCAAAATTAACGTTTACAGTACTCAGCAGAATACAACAACAAAAATTTTTTGACTAATTTATCACCGAAATTATATCAATCTTCTAAATTTTTTTAATGCCCTTTTATTTGATTTGTTTGCTTTTGTGCAGTTTTTTTCTTTTCGCAAGAAAAATTGATGAAAACAAACAAAATTGGTATCAGTCAGTTAGTGCTGCTTCTCGTTAATTCAGAAAAACTAATGTTGGCAAAATTTTTGGTCGGTAAAGAAATTGCTGCAAAAAAAAAGTGCAAAATAAAAATTGAAAAAATAACAAAAAATAACTGCAAGAAAAAAAAAAGAAAAAAGATTGAAATATGGCAGGGAAAGAAATTTGGTATGAAACTAAGTAAGTGAGCACAAAAAAGCACTGAATAATACAGTTTTCTCTTCTGGAAAAGTATTCTGAGCAGTAGTCTTTATCTTGAGAAAGGAATAAAAAAAAAAAAAAGAAAAAAGAAGGGAAGATTAAAAGCAACAAAAAAAAACTTTTTTTTTCTGGTTGATAAAATAAATGCTATAAAAGATAGTGTGATAATCAAAGTGTCAAAAAGAGCCTAATATAAGCGAAAAAAAAAAAGTAATTGAATAAATGAGTAAATGAATGAATGAATGAGTAAATGAGTAAATGCAAACAGCAAAAAATGACTGAAAGTCAAAACTGGTTGTTCGGGATGAACAGATCAACTTTATGAAACATTTAAATTCATCCAACATATTGCATACATCAGGCAAAAAAGAAGCTTTTTAT